AATAATAACAACAAAATGGTCCAAGTACTTGATGCATATATAAATAAATTAGTACGTATAGTTACATCTGATGGACGAATTATAATTGGAACATTACATGGATTGGATCAAGCAATAAATATTATCTTAGATGATAGTCATGAACGTGTATTTTCTTCAACAAACGGTGTTGAAAAAATTCTTCTTGGTCTTTATACAGTACGTGGTGATAATGCTGCATTAATTGATGAAATAGATGAAGAACTTGATAATAATATTGATTTTTTCAGAATTCGTGCTGATCCATTACAAGCTGCTAAAACATAATTTCTATATTCTCTTTCTTTCCATGTATTGTTATTATTATTTTTGTTATTGTCAGATGATTGTCTGTTAGTATGACATCGAAATATTTCTTTTTTTACTCTTCGTGCCATCGAAGAAAACATACAAAACAATGTCTCATTCGACTTGTCAGTAGAGCAAAAAAAAAGAAGAAAAACCATTCTTTCAGCTGATACAATTTATAATTAAAAATCAATTTTGATTTTGCAGATGTTATTAAATAAAACACAAAATATTTTAGTTAGTATTCTTTTTCGTTTAATCTCTTGGTTTATTGTACGCACATATCTTATTGCTGATGAATATTGACCAACATTTGAAGTAGCTCATTCACTTGCTTTTGGTTATGGTTATAAAACATGGGAATGGTAATCAAATATTGCTATACGAAGTTATCTTTATCCATTAATAGTTTATCAATATAGAGTTTTCAGTGGTTTCCAGTGAAACTCGACTAGTGACATCATTTATGGAAACATGATTGATAAAAGAATGATTTTTCGATTTAACTATTACGTTTACCACTCTTGTTATTGAGCGAGCACTATCTCCATTTTCATCTATCTCAAAAAGATGTCATGGGTTTGTTTAACCAATTTTCCTTCAGATTGTTTTGCTTCTCTGGTCTTTTTCTTTGTTGAAAAGCCACTACCTATCATCGATCGATATTTTCCACGATCAGCACACGGCTTATATCACTATATGAATCCATTCCGAAATTCACCATCCAAAAGTTTTAAAATGAAAACATTTATTTTTATCGCAGACAATGCATCAGATATTCATCGCGACATGTATTGATTTTATAGTCATTGCACATGTCATAATCGATATTGATCACCGTTCCTATTGACTAAATGAATTTTCTAACAGACGATTAGTATTAATTGTTTGTAGGTATAAGCAAACGTTATTCGTTGTCTCGTCTCTTTGAAATTAAATATTTTCAACGACAGTCTGATTCCTTCCGTAGCCTTCCGACTTCACAACTACCTTTATGTATTAGCATCTGGTTTTACTCAAAATAATGATTTTCAATACTAACATATTCAGCCGTCTAGAATGTGTCGACATCTATGCAACAGTAAAACTGATATTAACTCATTGCATTGAATTCGAGTTTCTAACCTTCAACTACCTTTGATCAAGCTTTAATTGCAGATTGTTAGTCTCGTTCAGCACGGAAAGTCCTCTACCGTACCCTTCCACGACGTCACTTCTTATTGGTGG